GTCCAGTTAGTGATTGATGGAGTGAACTACCTCATTGAATGTGAGAAGAGGCTCGAGAGGGGGCAGGACATTAAGGTTCCCTCCCCAATCCCTGCATTCAGGAAGTGAGCGTCTCCTCTGCAGGGAACCTTGAAGTAGAAGAGCTGCTGCAGTGGCTGGATGTCTAACTGTTGGCCCTACAAGATATTTACACGAGCTGTACTAACCTACAAGCACATTTAAGTCTTTACTTGTACTGTTCAAAACAAATAAAACTCTAATAGGGAACTAAGTTGTTGGTACTTGTTTCATCATTTACAAACTCTGGGCGCAAAGTGCTGAAAATATGAGGATATGTGAATATTTACATGCTCAAAACAAATACTTTGAACAGTTCTGTACAAATAAAGCAGGTTAATAAGTTTGTGATGAACATAATTTTTTTAATGATCTATCGATTTGAAGAAAAATAATTAAATAAAGAACCTCTGACATGGAGGGAATAGGGAATAAAAAAAACTGTGAAGTCACATTTACTGCAGGCTCTCCGGTGGTTAATCTGGCATTCAGCCTTCTTCACTGTGAGTTTAATCCAGGAGTAAAAGACCAAGCTCATTATTGATGGCAAAACTGAGCCAGCAGGTCCAATAAATATGGGAAACAAATTGTATCTCTGTCTCAGTTACAGGTTTAAAAGAGAAGAATTAGGGATTATATTTTATCAAAAGAGATATGACAGCAGAGCAATGAAGGTTTTAAGTGTTTGAGAGTGACTCTTGAATTCTGGGAGTATTTCTGAGTGTATGCTCCTCCTGACAGCAGATTATTGCCGTATATTTATTACTGTTATTAGATACCTTCACTAAAAGCTCAAAAAGGATTGAATTATGATTATGTATTAACAGAGCATTAATACAACCAAGGTTTTATCTGATGAATTCTGAAATCACATTTCTTTTTTCCTGTCTGTGTAGTATTTATTTATTTATGAATAGGCCTAATATTTTTATTTTTCTATTTGTGCTGCCAAACTTATAATCCAAAACAGTACAAGAAGTGGAAATATTTGCTTTTTGCATTGTTTATCTGTAAAGAACTGGTGGTAACCTGAACTTTTATGGTTGTGTTTTTATGTTTTTATAATGTATTTTTAAATGTTTTTTTTCCACAGATGTATGTATCAAATTAACAGCTGAAGAAGAAAACATGAAGTCAAAGAACAAAAAGATGAAAACTCAACTTTTGCTCAAATTCAACTACTTCACTGAATTTTCTTCAGAAATATTTTTAGTTTTATTTAAACAAAGTTAACACTATTTCACAATAAATTTGATTAAGAAGACACCTTGAACCTTGCAGGATGTTTGATGTAGTTAAAACCTGCTGACAGCAGAGGGCGGTAGTGGAGACATTTAAATGTGTGACAACTTCCACGTCACATAATTTTATTATGGATTATTTTCACAATCAAGTTTAAGTTTGTGTAATTTCTCAATATTATAAATGACTAAATTATTAACGAGTGACCTGAACAGATCATTGAAAAGTATCCATACAATCTGAAAGAAAAATTCCCTTGTGCGCATCAGGCAAATTTGTGTAAACTTAACATTATCACAGCTTTTTAAATAACTCAGCGCAGCAATGTTTTAAGAACCACTGGTCAGTTTTCAGGTTTACAACTTCTCTGACATTTGCTCACATATTCCAGATCTGCAGATCAATAATTCTTAATTTAAAGTGGCTAAATATGCAGTGACTGAAATTAAATAAATTTACTGATCAGTCAGGGAATGCGACTCATTCATTTTAAGAACAAAAAACAAAAAACACAAATTGATTTTATAATTGTTTGTTACAATGAAACTACATCAGTGTGTAAAGTGTAAAAGTGGGGAATATGTGTGTAAACTCAGAAGGACTCAGTAACTTTCTTGTTTAGATAAACTAAAAGTCTTGAGCCACCAAATACGACTTTTTTTTCGCTTCAAGCAAACGTGGACATTTCAGATAAACCAACACAACAGTTCCTCAAGATTTGAGATTTTTTTTTTTTTAATTAAACTTACTCTAGCTTTTTCTCTTTGATCTAGTAATATTTATATATTTTCATACAGGGCCAGGTAATACTGGATTATTGTTCAGAGCTCTGTTTTGGGTTATTTCCTGTTGTTTCAGGAATCATTGTCTTGTTGAATGATCCAATTTGGATCAAAGTTCACTGACAGATACAAAACGTTGGTATCCAAAGAAGTTTATGGTTGACTTAATGACAGTAACTTACTTGAATCTTGAAGTTACAAAGTAAACTGAAACCATTACCTTTCTGCCACCATGTTTGACATTTAGACTTCATTCCATTATGACCATAAACTGTGGCGTCAAACTCATTGGAGTGAAAGAATTGTTGCAGAGGGAAGAGGTCAAAGCATTGAAGAAACATGCGTTTCCCTTCTTTATGTCATGTGTAATTCTACCTTTGCCTTCAGTCTGTACAGAGCCACTTGATGTGCACAAGTACTTGTGACAGTTTTCACTTGAAAAACAAACTTATTTCCATCTCCTAATCCTGAACCAACACAAATACATCACAGAGTATTGAAGAATGCCAGCTACTGGAAACAATCAGAAATTTGTTCCTTTTGATAGGAAGCAAAGTGCATTTTATTCTCTAACGAAGACTGAAAATTGCAACACATGGAGCGAAAAAAAACATCCGCTGGTTAATTGAATCATTACGGCTGAGTTGGTTTGAGATTAATTCCACGTAGGGAAAAGATCAAAAGCGACCCAGTAAGAAGGATGTCGGTGGAAATGGGAGCACTGAGGCATGTGGGATAATCCCATTAGGAGCTGCACATTCATTCAGACTGAAGACTGTTTGCTTTACAGTAACTATGGAAGAGGTTTGGGGCTGAACAGTCACTGATGATGGGGGCTACAAACAAACTAGTAATTTCACTCTTTTAAAGCATTGTGGAATCAGCTCTCTGTATTAAATCTTTTTAATTAACATTTTGGCCAATCGCTCTAAAAGCAAATGCTGAGTACGTCTCTGGAACAAATTGGATTAAAAAATATAAGGAAATAATGTGCGTCATTGGTTATTGACTGACTGCCAAAACTCACTGTAATACAAGGGGATACATACTGTATTTAATACCAATGTGTTACTGTGGGGTAAATCAGTGTCGTCCACTATTATTACTCTGGATTTGGTCTAAAATTAGTTTGGATTCCTTAACGGTGCAAGACAAGTACATTTAGTAATAACATGATAGCTTAAACCGTACACGCCTACATAAACACGTTTTTCATTTGCAGGTTGTTGAGCATCAACGTGAATTTGACGCAAAACATTGATTCATTAATCAGTGTTAAGGGTTTTAGGAAGCAAAAACCAGAACCTTGTGAGCATGTTTCCATTGTGGGGTGTGTGTGAATATCTGTGACTCAGTGTGATCCTAAACCACCACGTGAACATGATCACAACTTCTAATATACGAAGGTAGAGCACGGTGTCTTGTCTGAACGCTGTAATTTTGGGATGGATAATATCTATTAAAACAGTGACTTCATGTGGTTCTAATTCAATTCATTTTATTTATATGGAGCCAGGTCACAACAGATGTTATCTGAGGGCACTGTACAAAAACTTTCACATATATAAAAGCCAATTAGTAAAGTTATCTATCTAAGGAAGTGGCTTAAGTGGTTGTGTAATTTTGCACACACATGTTCAGTAACAGTGGTGGTTTAGAAGCCAGAATCACAAAACTCTACATTATCAAAATATAATTAAAATGTAAGCATATGTGACACTAATCAAATTTGTTTTTAAATTGCATGTGTCTTTGGAAACATGTTTGATACTGAGCCGAGGTTCCTGCAGCTCCCCTGCACCCCTGCTTCCCACAGCCTTGCAAGATACCCATTCAAACAATCGGCAACCAGCCTGAAAAAGGGAACCCATGTTTATTTCACCAACACACAATTAGCTAAAATGTGTTCAAAAGCCTTGTTTCAAGTGACATCTAACAAAACGTATTTCAAACCGCATCTAAAAACTAAAACAAAAAAACCTGCACATACTGTCAGAATGAAAATCTGATAAATGCTCTAACAATTTGTACATTTAAAAAAAAGCGTGTCTTTTCCAGGCTTGTAAATTCAGTAAACAGCATCAGGTAGGTAACGCAGAGTCATCGTTAATTTACAACAACAATGCCAAAATGCAGAAGTGTTGTGAAACATCTTTTCACACCTATAGAGAAAATAAATTAACTTGAAGTCCTTTAAATCAGATCTACCTCATGAACCGACGTGCAGCTGAGTACTTAAAAATGGACAGCATTTATGATTGTTAATCCTTCCAGGAGTGAGCTTCACAGTGATGTTACCCCCAAAGTCTGCTGCAGAGGACCCAGAGAGCATGCTGAAAGTAAAAAAAAAAGACTATTTGAATTTTTTTTTGATTACAACTTGTTTTGTAGGCTTTATTTCTTGTTAAATTGGAATGTGAGAGCATGTGCTCTGTATTGTTAACAGGTTTTTTTTAGACTCCAAGGACTTTTAGTCTGTAAAATACAAGATAAAGGTTTAGCTTGTTTGAAGAGGTCTTTAATAAAAGCTCTATGACGACACCCGTCTGCTTTGTTAGCTTGTGTACATGTTGATGCCGTTAGTTCTCAGAATTGTTAAAAGGGAAGAGACTGATAAATATCTTAATATTTCTTTTTAATATTACAAGTTAAACAAATTGATGTATTAAACTATTATTGTTGCTACAATGTTAAAAAGAACCTCTAAAATCAAAAGGACTCACAAAAGCAGGACAACAAAAATGTGCTTTATCATGCAAGTCATATTTATTTTCAAACTGCCGAGCTAATCAGAAACAGAAGAGGTGACAGGCGTGTAAAAGGCAACGGAAAATAAACGAAATGACACAAAAATATGTTCCAACACGCAAATATTTCAGAAGAATTCATGTAAAATGGCTCATTTCACCATCTTCCATATATTTTAGGATAAGGACATTATTTCAAAAATAAACACCAACGTTAACATCACAAATTAAAGCATTTTTGTGCAAACAATCTACTCTGTGTTTTAAAGGAATGCGTGTGATTGTGAGATTGTCCCTGTGAAGGTTCAGAAGTGTGTGTCTGATGGTGCTGCTATGTGTGTGTGCGTGTGTGTGTGTGTGTGTGTGTGTGGTGTTCACTCCACAGCACAGAAATTATTCAAGGTATTTTCTCGGGTTTTGGGAAGCTCATTTTGATCCAGTAGCCGGTATTGGAAGGTAACACGGTTAATGTAGTTCCCACTGGACACCAGCCTCACCACCGAGTTGTCACATCCAATTTTCATCTGGGCTGAAGAGCCACGAGGAAAAACAAACACAGAAACAAATCATTCACACTGAAAACACTTTGTTCTGAATTTATTTCAACTTGAAGTGTGATTGTCTGGTGATGCTGTGGTGCACTGGTAACAGATTTATCCAGATTCAATAAATCTGTAAAAAAAAAAATGTGTCCAAAATATATTTAAATTATAACCAAATACACAGTCACTTTGAAAAATGCAGGAAACAAAGTGAAGAGGTCAAAAACACATGATACCAGCAACTCTCGACTAAAAACTGTGATCTTGGTGTTATTATTATTATTATTTTATTTTTTTACTCTTTTCAGACACATCTAACTAACTTTGAAATCAATCTGATTCTTGTAAAATCTATTGGATCACAATCATGAATCTATAAATACTTTGCCAAGTTTCAGTTTATGCATTTCTGACTTAAATACAAACCGTAGGCCTATACTTGTTATCCTGTTGTATCGTTTACCAGATTTTACATCAGACAAGGAGAGACCACAGTGGTGTTTCCTGGTTACCAGTTCTGTATGGTTCTGCTCAGTTCCTCTGATTCGTTGAATACAGATGCCTCAAGTGATCTCCTGCTGAATATTTTGCTGAATAATGGAACGTTCACTTCCATTTTGTGAGCCTTATTTGTTAATTGTTTTCTCAAAAAAATCAGTTATAATGATGTATTTCTTTTCACTTTTTGTATTCAGAGTAATGTGCACATTTATATCAGTTTTGCATACATGTTGTACTTCATGGTGTGCACTGGTTAGAACCCTGCTGACCAGGTGATTCCACTAAGACCCACTCTTATTGTAAAAGCAGAGTAGATGGAGACTTACCGAGACCACCGGATGAATAACAGAGGTCAGCTACAGGAAACATCTTCGAGGTGTCCACCCCGTTCCCTCCCAGCAGCTCCACGTAGTCACCAGAGCCCGAACAGCCCGACCACATCTGTTTCTGCAACAAAAAGCAGCAGCAGCAAAAAATATTTTTTTATGTTTTCCAATCAAAGTTTTTGAATCAAGAGTAAAGCTGAATACAAATTAAATGTTTGAAACAGCAAATATTTATAGTAAAAGTTAGAATAACAAGCTTCCTTAAACGTAATAATAGCCGAAATTGCCGTCTTTCCCTTCGCCTGCATATAATAGAGTACATTAAGCCTGTTTACTTTCCATGAAATTGTACCTTTGGACTTTGGAACAGGCTCAGTTTTACTCCATATTTAAACAGAAATTATTTGGCATGATGTCATCAGTCTGCCAGCCAGTGTCAGACAAGCTGCCAAACTCCTCTTCAAGCTGTCACATGTGTGTGTTTAGTATTTTCTGCATTTGTTTCTGTGCTGCTTGTGTTTTAGTTTCTCTTGTCTTCCTTTGTCATTTCTCATCTCTCCCTCCATCAGCCGTTTCAGGACTTTTCCTCTGTCTGCTACCATCACCTGTTCCCAATCCTAATCACCCCAGGTGTTTGTCGTATTGTTTCGTTAAGGTCCCTATAAATTCAGCATCTTTGTGTTTCCTCATTTGTGGATTGTGCTTCTGATTGCCATCTCTGTTTTTATCCGTGTTTCTGTTATCCTTTAATTTTGCGAGTTTTCTGCCACGTCATCCTTTTGTTTGATAAATTAATTAATTTATTTTTATCCCTGAGCTCTTCGTGTCTGTCTGCACTTTAGTTTAATAACAGAGAACATGTTACAAGCATTTGGTGTAGTTCAGACTCATAAAAATAGTTGACATTAGGGATGCACAATATTGGATTTTTGGCTGATAAACTATATGCCGATGTGTTTAAAACTTATTTGGCCGATACAGATACCGATATTCCCCCCTCAGACCAACTTACAGAGACTACATAGCATTCTTTGTTGCGGAATTAAAATACATTATTTTGCATGGTCTTTGACAGTTTGGCCTGCTACCAAAGGCAGATGCCAAAAAGGAGACTGTAAATGTAACACTATATAAATATATAATATATATAAAAAGAAACAGCGCCTTTTATATCCGTGAGTTATTTTGATGGAATGGCCCGATGTCCGATATTTAACTTTGTCATTAATATCGGCCGATACCGTGCCGATAATACCGTGTATCCCTAGTTAACATCATATATCTCTTTCTGTACTTCGAAGAGATTTAATTTGGTATCCATAACTATTTAAACTGAAGTTTTGTATAAACGTTGAATAAACATGATTGCAAAGGTTAGATTTTTTTTTAAACTTCACTGTTTTTTGCTCGTCGTGGTTGTACAGTGATCAAGATTTGCCAGTTTGTTTATAATTTTTAAAGCTAAACAGAATTGTAGATAATCAAGTTTCACCATTTACTGGTGTAAAAAGCTTTAGCTGCTAATGAAGGTGGCAAGAGTGAACCAAAACAGTTCAACAAGTTTCAAGCTCAAATCAACCTACAACGTTCCTTTTAGACTTTTCTGATCCAGTTTTTATCTGAATCATTTAAAATAGCATTGGACAGCAACCAATAGGTGCATGAACAAAAAAATAAATAAATAAATTTGAACCTTTCTGTGTTTTAGCACCAACATTTTCAAAACCCTTTTTTTCCTAAATTAAAACTTGTTGATTTAATAAGGAAGCATTTGAAGTGTTAATAAATATTTTTTTTCCCTTACCCTCACTAATTATTTATGTTTTATGACTAAAACTTAGATTGAAATTGATCAGCAAGTACTAAAAACATTTTCAAATTTGTGGTTTGCATTTGGTCACCATTGACATAATATTGATGATATGATTGCACTGCAAAAGGTTTTATAGCTCTAAATATGATCTTTTGTAGTTTTAAACTAAAGTGATAAAATAATTTACATATCGTAGAATAATTCATTAATTGTGTTTTACTGCAGCTAAAGCTGGTGTTTGACCACACAGGGGTGTCAAACCCACTTACAAAAGGAGGCCAAAATTAAAACCTTCAAACTAAGGACCAGTTTCAAAACCTACATTAACTCAGATCAGATAACCAACATCTTTTCTTGGTTGCAGGTTCCTCAACAAGAGTTTGATTGGTCTCATTTGATGTTCTCTGTTGCACTTTTGACATCAATCAAAGATTACTGAAAAAATAAAGTGATTAAAGTATTTTACATTTAAAATAACATCTTGGGGGGGCAGATGAGATGTCAACGAGAGCCACATTTGGCCCCCGGGCCTTGAGTTTGACACATATGATATGAACAAATCACAAATACTGAACTCTGATCAGTTAGTGTTTCCTGGGAGCTTTTTCAGGAGTGTCTGTTCAGCAGCTGAAATGTTCTATTTTATTATTTTATGCGGTGTTTGCGCCATAGCTGCGTTTCAACTACATGCTGAAATCCAAAATGTAAAACTTCTGTAAATTACGGAGTTCTCGTATGAAAAGTTTACAGAAGGTTTGTCTCACCGGTGGGCGGATCTCGTTGGTTGTCGACTCGCCCAAGCTGAGATCTGTCAGTCGGATCTCCACCGGGTAGATGATGGAGAAGCTGCAGTTCATGCGCTGATGTGGGATCACCATGGTGAAGCTGCCCTCTGGACTCTGAGACATGATGTTACAGGCTTTCTCACACAAACACACACAGAGACAGGAGGAGAGGTTTCAAATTTCAGCCAGTTCTACATCACCTGGGAAACTCACGCTGGATGAATTGGACATAGTCAAGGGTGATGAGACACAATTACCGAACGTGGACATTCAAGTCCAGGTTGATGACGCAGCACCTGGACGTAAACACAAGCCTGAATATATATAATCCATTCAGGAAAGTTGTTTGATTTTATTTTTTATTTGAGCTAGAAATAAATCACATTTACAAAGAATTCCTGTGGGTAAATTCTGTCCCATTTTGTGACGAAACATTGCCCCTCGTTATACAATTATAGTCATTTAAATGCTGAAAGAATGTGGCCACATGTGAGATCTTGACTACTTATATTGTATGGTTACCACAAATTTTCCATCACTTTTACTCAAGAGAAACGGAACGTTTTGCTCAAATAGACAAAAAGCTGCCGCTGATGGTCCATATGGGAATAAAGGCTCCTATACACTGACCTGAGAATTTACATTGTTTACCTAAACAAGATCTACTTAAATCTTTCTTTTTATCTGAAAATGTTTTCTCTGGGTGTGTTTTGGTCCCGGCTGACTGTGATCGTGATATTGCTTGGCATAGTGTTAACGTGGTGTTTGTCAAGCAGCTGGAAAACAGGTGCAGCCTTCTCATTCAATCTCTCCACGTCGCTCTCAGCCGTGATTAATGCTCGACCGAGCACAAATATCCAGGGAGAGCACACGCGCATGCACATAAACACGAAACACTATTCCATTCATTTCCTTTAAACGCACATGATTACATGCAAGGCCGACGTTATAAAATCATGGTTTGTATTTTCTTCCAAGGCTTAAGAAGATTTTTTGACTTTTACAGTGGAAAAGTGGAACCACAGATGTGTTGCAGGACTCACGCAAAGGATTGTGCAGCTTTTTGAATGTGAGGCTGAAGCCGCTGTCAGGGCTGTGGATGCGAAAGAAGATCATGGCAACATTTTGAGAAGACCGGGAGGCGACCGTCTTTGCTGTGGAGGAGCAGTAGTCTGTGTAGCGCTCGTGCGGAAGAAGAGGGTGATCATAGCTGCTGGGGAACTTCTCTCCCTTTAGAACCCAGCCGTCAAAAATCTGCAGGAGGAACGTGAGATGAAGTCAGTCTGTATGACGTGAGGCTGGCTTTCTACAGAAAAATACCGTATTTTCTGTTGTATAAGTCGCATCAGTCAAAAAAAGCATCATGAAGAGGGAAAAAAACATATATAAGTCGCTTTGGCGTATAAGTTGCATTTATTATGCATTTATTTAATGGTCAAAACCGCTTAATTTCGCCTGGGTGGCGCCATACATCCATCCATCCGTCCATCCATCCATCACGGCTGGAGCTGCTAGCTCTCCAGCGTTCCTCCGCCTGCACCAGCTGAGTGAAGCGAGCGCTCACGGGAGGACTCACTGTTGCAGTTCTTCAACATTTAAAGCATCAGTCAAAAATAGCATTATGAATATGGAAAAATAAAAGTATAAGTCGCAGGACTGACAAATCTATGCAAAAAACTGCAACTTATACACCGGAAAATGCGGTATCAAAAAAATGTTAAAAATAGTAATTTTCTTTCATTAAACCTATTTGAATTCAGAGCACACACCAAAAAATTAAATGAAAATAAACTAATATGAATGACATTTAAGTGTAAACATGGAAAAGAGACATGAATATTACCTACATGTTTGACTGGTGACCAAATAAAATGACTCTGTGGCTTAAAGTGACATAATAAAACACTGAATGTAGACAAAAGTGCCTGAAAACTGTTATATCAGTTTCTCAAAGTTAAAATAAAGTTAAGAAAAGGTAACATTAGTGTTATGTAGGCGTTTTAATGTTTTGTTACAGGTTCTACGAACACATTCACTTCTGTGCGATGAATTGTATTTCACCTAAAAGCAAAATTCAACTTCAATTTCTGGCAAGTAAATTGTAACTCTCACATAAAGTTTTATACCTTTTTTGTGTTTAAAAAAAAAAATAACTTGTGCATGTTATACACTGTATCACCACCCAGCCTCTGAACCCACAGGGTTAGAAATGTCTGTCTTTTCCTCTGCCAAGCCTTTTTTGAGTTTGTCTCACTTAAATCAAACCTGCAGTGTCACTGGCGGGCTTGGCTTCAGAACTAAAGTTTTTGCCTCCTACATTTGCTCCGAGCAACACGACCAAAACAGGAAGATCTGGTGGGAGGTTTTACCCCCAGCCTTTGCCTCAACCCTGTCTGGCATCAGTTTAATCAACTCAAACAAAATAAAACAGAGTTCAGGTCTAAAATCTGTCTTTCCATGCTGTGGAGTGAATTGTTTTTTTTTGACTGGGACGACCTTTATGAAGTCCCCAGCGCTGCAGTCGATGCTGACGTCAGACAGCTCCAAACTGATGACTTCGCCGGGCTCTGCGATGACGAACGCAGCACAGGCCAGCTGTGGCCGGGACGCTACAAAAGTGAAGTATCCGTCCGTGGCCAGCATGTCCAAGCATCCTGCAAACATCACATACAGCTGTGGAGCACATTGATCCAGACCAGTGGTTCCCAAGTTTTTCAACTTCTGACACAAATATGATAATCACTTAACTAAATAGAGCTATAATGACAACATAAACAGCCAATGTATTCACACTTTTATTTTTTTTACAACTTGCTTTTATAATTGGGAACATTCATTACTAAAATAATAATTTAAATTTCTAAATTTGATTTCAAGATATCATCTCAAGACCCTCAGTTGATGTTTCATAATCCAACGTGGGGTCTAGGCCCCAAGTTTGAGAAATACTGATCAAGACTATACGATTACTTGGAAAGTATATGTAAATAAACATTTTAACGTGAACCGGAGAGCTTTCACCCTTTTTTCTAATTTAGCATTTTCTTCGTTCTAAAGAAAGCAAGAGTTACTAAAACATGGCTCACAAATGAATGCAACAGTGACTTTTCTTAAATCAAAATAAAACTTGAACTTTAAAATCAATTATGTGTAATGAAAGCTCCAATGTGAGAACATGTAATGGTAAACTGTCATGCGAAGGTTTGTAAAATTAAACACAACAAAACTTATTGGTGTAAATAATTCTTACTGAGAGGTCGACGGAAAATAAAATCCTCGGATTCTCTTTTCTGGGCCAAAGTGAGCAGAGAATATAATCCACCTGAAGCATCGTTTTCCTAAATAAACCAGAAACATAACTTTACCTGCATGACTTCATCATTAATCCCACTTTCATTAGATTTTTCCCGCCCCCTTGTTATTATGGCAATAAAGACTTACCTCGATGTATCGAGTGAGCCCGGTCCTTGTTGACAGAGAGATGAGACAGAGAAGCAGCTGAGTGCGCAGAGACATGCTGAGCTGCATCTCTCCACGGAGCAGGGAAGGAAATAGCAGCTCTCACTGAGAGCCGGCAGCTTTTATAGCAGCTTAAACACACAAGCAGGCCAACGGCAGTCACTGAAATCTTCGAGCTGAGCAGACTTGGAGTTATTTTTATTATGCGATGAGGAAAAAGCTGGCATTTAAATCCCCATTAATTTAAACATGCTTGGCAGTGTGGAAACAAATAAGGGCGTATTATTTTATTTAAAGAAATGTGGGCTCATTTAAAGTGATGCGCAACAATACGTTACTTATTTAGGCCAGTGTCTGATTAATATTAGAATACTACACAACATGCATGTTTGAATGGAAGCAGTGAGAGCAAACCCAAAGTGCACACATGTTTTAGAAGGACCCAATGCAGACTTTTAGGAACTTGGGCTCGAAAAATAACAATGCAAGATTTTTTTTTTCAATAAAAACTGACAAGATGATAAAGATTATGCCAAATCATGGAACATTTATACACAGGAAGAATGCATATAGTGACACCAGGTGTGTGGATTACTGCTTATAGATGGTGAGGTGGAGCTCAAAGCCAGAACAATTGAGGATATTTTGTAGCTAAAATATATTTAAAAAAAAGTCCACATTTGAGTAAATCAAATTATAAGAATAAGGAAATTTGAGAAAACCAAACAATTAACAGAATAACTAGAACAAAAACCCCCCAAACCATGATGAGCTGGAGCCTTGCAGGTTTTACCAAACATGTGAATAAATCAGCAGGCAAGGCGTTAAAGTGGGAGCCAGTGTGAGAAATCAGGGACTATATGAGCCTTTTGTCTGCAACTTACTTGTCAGGTTTATTGTGTGAAGTCTAAAGCTTTTCCACGCAGAGAATACTTACAGGAAAATTGTTTTCTGTTAGCTTTGGCACTCTGTATTACTGATAAACTCCTACAGCCACTTTTGATATCAACAAAACACTGTTGGCATCATTTGTCTTTACTTCATGGAGTTATTACTTTTACCATCATTATATAGATTTTTTTCACATTGACCTAAAGGCTCTATGCAAAATTAAGCACAGGGATGCTAAAGTCATAAAATAAATCACAATCTGCTTAAAAGCTGTAAATGATATAGTTACTGCCACATGATATGAGACATTTATTAATTCAATTCAGTTCAGTTTATTTATATAGTGCCAATTTACAACAAAGTTGTCTCAGGGCACTTTACAGAAACATACTGTATATAAAAAAGCCAATTAGTAAAGTTCTCTAGCTAAGAAAGCCAGCAGACTCATTTAATCTTCACTTCGTCGCAGTCTCCCATCCGGAGCAAACACAATAGCAACAGTGGAAAAAAAAATCCCTTTTAACAGGAAGAAACCTCCAACAGAACCAGGCTCAGGACAAGCGGCCATCTGCTTTGACCAACTGGGTTTGAGAGGACAGGAAGGAGAGACAAACGAACACAGAATGGTAGATCCAGATGTAGGTGCAGGTGAACCTGAAAGACAAAAACACGTCAAGGATGGAAAATATCATTACAAATGCAAAACAGGTTGAGCAGCATAAGTAAAGACAGTATAGGTGTAATAATACATCAATTTAAATAAATATATCAATTAAGTGATTAATGATTCAATTATATTGTGACAAAACTAAAACATTTATTCATATCGTCATCTTTAAAATGCGCTTTTATTTTGAAATTTCCAAGGCACGGCTGTATCACCATTTCTGTGCGTGGCTTTGCTCTGCGGCCGCCTCAGCAACATGGCAGAAAACACAGATAATGAAGTTCACTCTCCTGCTGGATTTAAATCAACACTGTGGAAATATTTTAGATTCCAACAGAAGGATGGCTCAACAGACAAAACTCATGCTGTATGCAACAGGTGACTGTGTGAGTTAAAATATTCAGGAAACACAACAAATGTGTCTGTTCACCTGAAGAAGAAACATGGCGTTGATAGCCATGTTATGTAAGCTCAATATCTATTTTTGTTTCTTTATAACTGAAAGGTAATCAGGGCACTTTTAAGTTAACTGGTTTAAAAAATGCACTGAAACATGAGAAATGTGAGACTATACTGAACAGGTCCTTTATTATTATTTTTTCATAAATTAAGAAAAATGTTGTTTTTTTTATTTAAATATCTGGTGTCTGTAATGACAGATATAAAATGGTTAAATCATATTTGAATGGTTTTTGTAAATTTATTTATATGCAAATGAGATAGGCATTTGCTATCACAATATATTGATCGCAGACGTGTGACTCGAATAGAATCGAAATCGTATCGTGACAGACTTTGTGATATCGAGAAAAATCGTATTGTCATACGAACAAATCATTATGATATCGTATTGTGGTAAAGCTGGTGATTTACACCCCTAAAAGACAGTAGCATAGTGAAGAAATGTGGTCAGTTTGTCCTCCAGCAGTCTAAGCCTATAGCAGCATAACTAAGGGATAGCTCAGGAAACCCAAGCCGACCCTAATTATAGGATTTATCAAAGAGGAAAGTCTTAAGTCCAGTCTTAAAACTGAACAATGTGTCAGCCTCACGGACAGAAACTGAAAGTTGGTTCCACAAGAGAGGAGCCTGACAACTGAAAGCTCTGCTTTCCATTCTGCTTTTGGAAACTCTAGGAACCACAAGTAACTCTGCAGTCTGAGGGCAAAGTGCTCTGTTAGGAAAATATGAAATAATAAGATCTGTAATATAAGATGGATTGCCGATATGACTTTTTGTTTACTAACCTGCTCCAACTCCACTTTGGGGAGTGATGGCGCAGAGGTTAGAGAAGGTGGGCTTGTGATCGGAAGATCACCGGTTCAAACCCCAGTACCGACAACATCAATTCGCCCCACTCTGGGCCCATGAGCAAGGCCCCCATCTGCTCCCTAAAACAGGTCTCTCTTGAAATTGAGTTCTCGTGGCTCAATGAGACTACCTGGATAAATAAAGGGTTAATGAAAAAAATAAAATAAAAACTCTGGTGGCGACGATGTGAGAAAATTGTGGACAGAATAGTTTCATGTTGTAGGATGTACTGAAATGAACTCATCAGGGAATGAAATCAGATATGTAAATGCAGACGCTCATAAATAATCAGCACATCTGTTTGATTACACCTGTTTTAGTTCATGTGTAGCAGAAAAGTCTAGCAGCTTTTTATGATTCCTGCCACTCGAGTGCTGACTGGTACTAGCACTGGTACCAGTTCAACCTTTCTGCATTAGCAGAATATAACCACAAATCCTGAATAGCCTGACTCCATCATATTCAAATTAACTCCCACAAACCAACAAGAATGCTCTCAGCATGATACGCTCTTAGTTGGTCCAAGAATCTCTAAAACTAGATAATTCAATTTGGTTTATTTATATAGTGCCAAGTCACAGCAGAAGTTGTCTCAGGGCACTGTACAAAAACATTCACATATATAAAAAGCCAATAAAAAGAGAGGAAGATCTTTCAGAGTTTTGGTTCCTCTCCTCTGGAATCCGCTCCCTGCTTTGATATGAAACAACAACACTCTCACTGCCTTCAAAACTGAGTTAAAGCAAACCTATTCATGGCATTACGGGGGATTAGTGGTTAGCACTGATGCTTCACAGCAAGACGGTCCTGGGTTCAATCCCTGTTTTGGACTTGGGGTCTTTCTGTGTGGTGTTTTCTTAGGGTACTCCCTTTGTCTCCCAAAGTTCAAAAACATGCATGTTAGGCTGCCTTCAGGCCCAGGGGTCACATGCAAAAGAGATCCATGATGTCCATGGAAAAATAAAGATTAATAAATAAATAAATTATTTGATAAGTATTAACTCTTCACATTGGTTGCAGTTGCTTTACTGAATAGTTAGTATTACATGCTTCAATGTGTTTTATCATGTATTCTTATGTATTGATTTTTATATAATTGGTTTTCAATTATATATGTTATTTACATATTATGTATGTTTTCATGTTTTTATTGCTTTTGTTATTTTATTGCATTTATTTGATCATTTGGTTTCACATGTTTTATGCTCTATTTTACCAGGTTTGACTGTCTTGCTTATTTTTTTTTCTTTCCATTTTTGAGGACTTTGTGTTGCTTCTGCTTTTGAAAAATGTTAAATAAATAAAGTTGAGTTGAGACAACCAGATTTTTTTCTTCTGCTACTATTGTTGTAGAACGTTTGTGACATCTACAACACTTTCCCCAGTTTAGAGCAATAGAGTTGCTTTGTACAAAGCATTTTTCAGTTTTTTAAATTATTATTATTTTGTTGTTTTATTTGCTTTACCAATCAGATAATGAGCATGTGCATCTGTACTCCATACATGTTCTTTTGAACTGTGGAAATCATTTCTACTCCCAAGAACTAAAAGGACCAAAACAGATGTGGAAAGACAGAAAGTGAGGAAGTCCTTCCAAGTGAGAGTCTGTGATGTAATTTAGTTTGTTGCAACATGGCTTATTCACTTAGATGAGACTAATTTTGGGTGTCTGTGCTTCTGTTGTGAAAGGTCAAAGTCTGACGTAACGAACACTAAGAGATGATGATCACCCTGTCAGCGTTGGTACACACATCCCATAAAACAGCACTCACAAGCACGTAAAATTAAAATGAGACTGAATGTGCACATAATTATACTGAGATAATGATAGCTGACATTTTCTTCCAGTGATGAAGGTCTGCGAGGCCACGCAAAGCACAAAACGAAGCAGTAATGAACATAATGAATAACAATTCCTCAACCAGAGTCTCTGTTTGTTGTTGTATAATGTTGATGACCTATTCAAGGTGCGTTACTTTCATTTAAAAGCCAGTGGTCACTGATTATAATTAGGAGTCTGTGATGTCTGAACCTATTAATCAGAACGTCGCTGTTTAAGTTTGTTTTCTTAATGTGAACGACATGAAGAAATGTCAGCAAAATGTTACATTGTGTGCAAGTGTTTATTTGATTTGGAGCTTATTTTTGGCACCACGATATTTTAATTGTTTCAGTTTATCAGAATGGAGACACTGATATA